TTTACAAATTAAATGCACTATCTAACATTAAAAATGTTGAATTTCATCTAGTAGGAATATCTAAAATAACAAGTTTTTTTGCATACAATATTTTCCCTTTCAATACAACATTTAAATTTTATCAACCTTGAAAGAGATGATCATAAATATCGAATAAAAATATGAAATTGGAAAAGGAATGATAAAAAAATTGAAAGACGTAGATCTTGGGCTAACAATGAAATTTATAATTGAGCCAAAAAATTGAATTTAGAAATTGAGTTGGGTTGTGTTAGCTAGGCATGAATTTGATATGGGAGTTGAAGCATTAATCACTAAATTAGTTAATTTGCTAATTTGTTTTAAAAAAATTTAATTAATTCAATATAAAAAATTTTAAAAATTGTTTAGATTCGATTCTTCTGTTCTTGGTCTAGAACCGAGAACCGAACCAAATCTATTGGTTTTCGATTTAGATACCCGTTCGACTATTTAACTTATGAAGAACCGTTCGATTCAGTTCAGTTCGGTTCGGATTTGGTTCGATCCGATTCGGTTCGAGAGTTTTGTCCAGTCCTAATGCTATTATTAATAGGATTACTCTTATTTTAGTTATCCATTGTGTGCCTACACCAGTCACACCACTCATCACTCCATTAGAGTACAATAATTCCTACTTGTATATGCATTATAAATAGCAGACAAGACCAATCTCGCTCCATGGACAAATTTGTTGATCAACACTGAGTTGGCCTACATCAGTCACACCACTCATCACTCGATCAAAGTACAATAATTTGTACTTTTTTTATGCATTATTATAAATAGCAAACAAGACCAATCTCGTTCCATGGACAAATTTGTTGATCAAATGGAGATTTTGGCAAAAAACCTTTATGATGAAGAAGAATCAAAACGCTGCGCGTATGCATTGCAGCTGGTTACTTCTTCGGCGCTACCCTTCTTGTTGAATACAGCAATGGAACTCAATGTATTCGAAATTCTTGCTAAAGCTGAGCCTTCTTCACAAATGTCGCCTCGTCAGATTGCGTCCCATATGCCCACTATTAACGCCGATGCACCCGCTATGCTTGATCGGATGCTTCGGCTCCTCGTTAGCTACTCAGTGCTAACTTGCTCCGTCAGTGATGGCCAACGACATTATGGGTTGGCACCAGTGGCCAAATACTTTGTGCAGAATGAAGATGGGGTTTCACTTTGCCCTCTTATGTCCTCGCTTCAGGATAAGGTCTTCATTGACAGCTGGTCAGTTCCATTATCTTTTATTGATAGAGGTTACCTTGGCTTGTTATATGAATGAGAACAGANCCAAAGTAATTGAGCGTGAGAGCCAAATGAATCGAAAGATACATGTTTGGTTCGGGAAGGGATTATGGAAGTTTTGAAATTAATTGAAAGATAATCTACTTTCACAAGGGATTCAATAGATAATCCAAAACTGAGGATCTTGAATACTATTCAAAATTTAGGAGCACTAACCATCGGATTAAGTTACAGCCTATTGTTTTTTGTTTACAAAAGAAAATGCTTACCTCACTGGATAAGAGTTGCTTTGCCCCTGTGACATCCCGACAATAGCTGTTACAAGTCCATCAGGACTTAAAGTGAAACTTAAAGCTAGAATATTTCGCATAATGAACGCTTTTCTTTCGATGTGATATTCTCATAGTGCTAGCCGATCACGAGAGGAAGTGCAATACTCATTGAACCCACCTTTGATATTTCAAGTATCATTCACGATGATCAAGTAATACTTTCAATAAAAATTGTCATAATGACTTCGAGATAAGAGTATCACTTATTAAGTCTTTTAGCCAATAAAGGAACCATCAAAGTTCCTAATTAAACTATGAGTGTTTGAATTTATTGAAGTTCTTCAGATCACAAGATCAACTTATGTGATAGCTTCATAATAGGTTCAAATTAAAGGACGCGGTACTTGAAGGAGGAGTTCCGTTCGACAAAGTTCATGGAACTCGTGCATTTGAATATTTTGGAAAGGACCCTAGGTTCAATGAAGTTTTCAATAAGGCAATGACAAACCATACAGCTGTTGTTATGAAACAAATTCTTGAGCACTACAAAGGTTTCGAGAACCTCAAAACTTTGGTCGATGTAGGTGGGGGTCTTGGCCTCACCCTCAACATGATCACGTCCATATATCCTACCATCAGTGGTATTAATTTTGATTTGCCACATGTTATTAAAGAGGCACCGTCCTATCCTGGTATGAATTTGTTATTTGAATCTCGTTTAGTAATTGTGCAATTGTATTTAGTAGCAATGCGTTAATCGGCTACCATTTGGTAGTTTTGTTGGTTAAGTTATATTTTGAATGATATAGAAAATGATATTTTAGGTTTGCATGCCTTTAGTTTTTACGTTGATATTTTAATTTTTCAAATTATTTGTAAAGGTTATAGGACCTTGTGCACAAAGTATGATTTAATATCTTAAACACAGACAAATAGTTATGGGTAAATTTTCGAGTTCGGAACTCTACTAACTAGTATGCTTATAAATGCTTGAAATTGAAGTTAAAATTTTGAATGCAGGTGTCAAACATATTGGAGGAGACATGTTTGAGAGTGTTCCTGGAGGAGATGCCATTTTCATGAAAGTAAGTTGAAAAATTCCATATATTGCTGACTAAATTGGTGTTTGTGGATGATATATATGTTGTTTCTGTAAGTATAATGGCAGTATGCATCTGTGTTTGAAAATTATCGTGTCATGTCAGACCCAGACACTCCAAGATCCAACAAGCCATGTGTCGCGTCACATTTATCTTACTGTCTTGGTCAAGAAATAAAAGTAAAACTGCTTTTTTTCTATATGTAGATTTTTTTTTCTCATAAAAGTAAGAATATTTGTGAAGAGGAAAACAATCCAAACTATATGTAGATTTTTTTTTCTCATAATTTTTATTGACAATATGACGCTGCAGATTGTTTATTAGTCTTGAAGATATTTTATCTAAATTAGGTAATCATTCTTGACAGTGGATACTTCATGATTGGAGTGATGACCACTGTTTGAAATTGCTTAAGAACTGCTACAAGGCTCTACCTGAAGATGGAAAGGTAATTGTTGTTGAGGAAATTCTTCCAGTTGAACCCGACACTAGTACCTCCGTGATTGCCACGAGCCAATCCGATCTAGTCCTGATGACCCAATTTTCGGGGGGCAAAGAGCGATCAGAAGTTGAGTTTCTTGTGTTGGCAAAGGGAGCTGGCTTTAGAGGCATAAGTTCAAACTGTTCCGTGTGCAACTATTGGGTCATGGAATTCCATAAGTAAACTGCTGGAGTGGAATGTCGTGTGTGTTCCTTGTTTTGGAACTTCAATTTTCATCTTGTTATACTGGTTAAAGTACTCTGCAGTTGTGGGTTTAAATAATATATTTCAAGTTTGTTGTAAACATAATAAACTTTCAAGGGCAGGTTTGGCAAGACTTTTGGAAAGCTAAAATCTAGTCAATTTCCAGCACTGATTACACTTCTGAGATCAAGAAACTGCTTTTGAAATTCTTGCAATAATTTTCTGAAAATGCTTATTTTGGTTAGAAGAACATGCAAAGAAAGCTTACTCAACGTGGTTTCTTCGTAAAACTCTTTTACAAAAGCAGAAGCTAAAGCTATCCCAAACATGCCCTTATACTGTCTGAAGAGTGGCAGAGTACATATATCAACACAAAAGCAAATGCGAAATAATTTCCTGTTATTTAGCACATTGTAATCACTTAACTGCTTCTTGTTCACAAAGATGGGTGAAATAAAAATGGTTACAGGTACAGGACAGTGTAAAAGGAAACATAAGATTATTTAATATATGTTCATTGTTTACAGATTAAGTTAACAAAAAGAAGCGCGATTACCGTCGATGTGCAATGCTGCCATGTATATTTTTTCTTGTTCGAGCTGCAGCGTTTTCCCACAAATTTCCTTTCAGCTGGTTCCGATAATTTCCTTATATGTGTCTTTGATTTTCTGTACCAAGACTTCCCTGAAATTCATAAGAGCAACCTCTACCTTTTAGCGTCAAACTCTGAATTATACTAGATTTCGTATAAGAGAAGAAGGATTACCTGTCTGGTTTGAAAACCAGGTTCTTGTATGCAAACCACTGTAACAAGTAAAAAGAATGCAGAAGATCCATAAGTTGAACTCTTCAGTTAAGAAACATTCAAATTCTTGTATGCAAACCACTGTAACAAGTAAAAAGAATGCAGAAGATCCATAAGTTGAACTCTTCAGTTAAGAAACATTCTAGTTACTTATATATGTTTATAATTTTTTTTGAGAAAATTGTTGCAGTAGTCTCAAACTCTTTTAGTTTTTTGCAGACTTTATCTTAACTTTCAGTTTGTAACATCAGCGGTCTCAAACCTTAGGAAAATTAGCACTTGGAGTCTAAATGGATGGATTACATCCCTTTGATCGTTATTTGACTAAGAAAATGTATTTTGACCAAATTTAAAGAGGACAAAATGATAAATTCCTCATTATTCCACATAAAATATTTAAAAAAAGAAAGGGAAGATAAATAGTTTTTGTGGGTTTGGGGTGGGGTGGGTTCATGTCCCTGTTAAATTTTTTTTTTTTTTGTGGTGGGGGTGGGTTGGTCAACTAACAGTCAATCCATTCATTTGGACCCCAAATGCTAATTTTCCAAAGGTTTGGGATCATTGGTAGTACAAACTGAAGGTTAAAGTAAAGTTTGCAAAAAATTCAAAAGTTCGGGACCGCTGCTGCAATTTTCTCTTTTTTGAGGGTGGGGGGGTTGTCTCATATTTTATCTGTTTTTGGCCTATTTACAGATTATTCAGCCGAAGAGGTAAAACAGAAAAATATTTTTAAGACTCAGATTGTTTAATAAATATTTGGAATTACCAGTAAGTTAGGTAGAAAATTCTTTTGCAAATGTCAAAGTTAAAAGTATTACAAGAAAATTAACTTACAGCAGTATATCCAATTCCCACTAGCTCAAGCACACCAGGTACCAGTGGGAGCCTGTCAATTGCCTGTTACAAAGGGGGACCCAAGTTTAACAAGTTTTAAGGCTTTCCTTATTCGAAATAAATTTATTCTTTCAATCTTGGCACTGACTTCCTCATATGAACATTTAGGCGTGCAAATATTGGCACTGATTTCCCACCTAAAATGTTGATACGAGGACGAAAGAGGTATTGTTATGGTTCTTACCGAGATCATTCCAGAAGAGGCCAACAAGGCAACTCCTCCAGCCAATGCCAGAGAAGTCACTGCATACTTGTCTTCGACTTTGTCCCACTTCATACATTAAGAATTTACACCATCAGTCACTACACTTGAGCAGTAAAGAGAAGGGTCAATCATGAGACGACGAAAAATAAATCCTTACAGATTCTTGAATTGTTTTAACAATCTCCGGAAGCTCAGTGGTTGCAACAACTTCAGCTGGTGCCTCCCCAGTTGCCATTGCCATAACATTCCGTGCAATCTTTCGACCTGACAAGTACATAAGGATCATTATTTTGATGAATACATAAAAAATCTGACTATTCTGTGAAGATATCTTACAGTAGGCAGTGGTCTTGGCAGCGCGACTTTGTGACTGCACTGGTGGTGGTGGGAGGGTCGGCAATGCTACCCATTGCGAGGATGCGGCCGCAGATTGGCGAGTAGCCGCCTTGGTGTCAATGAGGGTAGAAGAAGAAGAAGATAGAGATAGTGGAGTGGAAGTTGATGAGGCCATAGCTTCTGAACCACCCCTTGAGGTTTAGTTGAATTTGCTCTCACACAGAAGAAGAAATGTTGGGATAATAAGAAGTGAAGATTTTCTCTGTTATTTCAGATCCCTTTTGGTTGTTACTATTGGAAATTAATGTGATATTTTCTAAATGGAATTGAATTCTGGACCTACCAAGGTTGAGGCCGGATAACCACTCATTCATATAATCTAGATAGTATGTGTGGTGACATGGCACTTGGATAGCCATTTTGTGGTGTTTCATTGGATATACTTCTAAATGGAATTGAATTCTGGACCTTCCAAGGTTGAGGCCGGATAACCACTCATTCATATAATCTGGATAGTGTGTGTGGTGACATGGCACTTGGATAGCCATTTTGTGGTGTTTCATTGGATATACTGCTCCAGGTCCAAAAATAATACTAAACTATACAGAAAAATAAGTAAACAGGCACAACAATGAATCGTACTTTCAGTTCAGCATTGCCCTAATAAATAGAAATACAAGTAAATTTGAATTCCAGGAAAAATAAACCACTTCTTGGCAAAGACTCAATAATTCCAACTGGGGTTGATTTCCAGGAAAGCTTTCAACACAAGGAATAGTAAATAAGCGCGTTAACGCTAACTAGGCACACACCGAGCAAATTCCTTCAAAAATTTAGTAAAACCGCAACCTACTTCATCCAAGAATGGGGTGCCAACGACCGTGAATTGAAACACTTGGCGAACTCTGCGAAAATTGTTTCTTTGCTACAATTTCTACTACACATGTAAAATAGAACCAACTTCCATGTCAACTTTCAGTAGCTGAGCTATCACCCTACTTTGTTTCAAGTATATGTATTTGATAAATGTATTTTATACAATTATTCGAGTGCCTAAAATTGCATTTTATGTTATATAAGTAAAGCTCAATGGTTGAACGAGTAATTGGAAGAAACGAAAGTGATGCTACCAAAAATTGTCATATGTTGATTCTTGAGCATGACGATTGAGGATGAACACGAACAAGACAACAAGTAACTGAAATAAATGTGTCGAGTTGTGTCTTCATTGCCCCTCCGAAGCTTAAGTAAACTCTAAATGGAATTGAATTCTGGACCTCCCAAGGTTGAGGCCGGATAACCACTCATTCATATAATCTAGATAGTATGTGTGGTGACATGGCACTTGGATAGCCATTTTGTGGTGTTTCATTGGATATACTGCTCCAGGTCCAAAAATAATACTAAACTATACAGAAAAATAAGTAAACAGGCACAATAATGAATCGTACTTTCAGTTCAGCATTGCCCTAATAAATAGAAATACTAGTAAATTTGAATTCCAGGAAAAATAAACCACTTCTTGGCAACGACTCAATAATTCCAACTGGGGTTGATTTCCAGGAAAGGTTTCAACACAAGGAATAGTAAATAAGCACGTTAACGCTAACTAGGCACACCGCACACACCGAGCAAATTCCTTCAAAAAATTTAGTAAAACCGCAACCTACTTCATCCAAGAATGGGGTGCCAACGACCGTGAATTGAAACACTTGGCGAACTCTGCGAAAATTGTTTCTTTGCTGCAATTTCTACTGCACATGTAAAATAGAACCAACTTCCATGTCAACTTTCAGTAGCTGAGCTATCACCCTGCTTTGTTTCAAGTATATGTATTTGATAAATGTATTTTATACAATTATTCGAGTGCCTAAAATTGCATTTTATGTTATATAAGTAAAACTCAATGGTTGAATGAGTAATTGGAAGAAAAGAAAGTGATGCTACCAAAAATTGTCATATGTTGATTCTCGAGCATGACGATTGAGGATGATCACGAACAAGACATCATGTACCTGAAATAAATGTGTCGAGTTGTGTCTTCATTGCCCCTCCGATGCTTAAGTTAACAAAAGGGAAAATATAAGTGTAATGCTATAAATTGAATGTAAAAACATACCTGAATAATGAATTGAAACTTGTATTTATAGAGGTAAGTTGCACACACTTGATAGGATTATGATACTTGAAGCCTTATCTGTTTAAGAGATATAAAAGACTTGAGTATTTCAACATGAGTAGGAGTTGTAAGCTAGTTAGAATCCAATCTTATTGGAGTTGGATAAGTTTGAAGATGGAAGTAGAGTCCTAATAAAGTATGTCTTTTAAGATAGAGAAGGGGACAAAGGTAAAAACTCGAGGTGATGTGGAATCGTCATGTGCGGCAATTAAGCCCGATGAGGGAACTTGAGGAGGATACCTTGTGAAACTCCCAAGATGATCGAAAACAACCTCGGTGTATTGTTGTTCGAGGTTGATAAAAGAATGACCATATCATTGGCCCCCGTGCATCCATTTCAGGACTCGAGGATGTTGCTTAGAATGCTCAAGGTTCGAAAATGAGATGCAGGTTGCTCGGTTCGAGTATTGACTGCTTGAGGTCGAGTGAAGAATGTGTTGATAGGCCCCTGAGCACATATATGTAGGCAAGAAAGCTTCGAGCTTATAAGATCGGTCCTTTTACTTGGATGATTTTTAGGACTAATTGTTTGATTGAATGCATGTAGTATTTTCAATGATGCTTGCATGGGACAAGACTTTGAGTGCTTGCTCGTGGACAAGGCTTTGAGTGCTTGCACGGGGCAAGACTTTGAGGTGCTTGCACAAGGCAAAGCTTTGAGGTGCTTGCTCATGGGCAAGGCTTCGAATGATTGCACGGGGTAAGGCTTTGAGGTGCTTGCTCGTGGGCAAGGCTTCAAATGGTTGTACGAGGCAAAGCTTTGAGGTGCTTACTCGTGGGCAAGGCTTCGAATGCTTGCTCGTGGGCAAGGCTTTAACTTCTGATAAGAAATCCACGAGCTAAGTCTCGCCTTCAATAATAAGAAAACAACGAGCAAGGGCTTGCCTTCACTAATAAGAAAACCATAAGCTAAGGCTCACCTTCATTAAGAAAACCACGAGCTAAAACTCATCTTCAATAATAAGAAAATCACGAGCTAAAGCTCTCCTTCGATAAAGAGAAAAACAGAGCTAAGGATAGTATTCGAAAATGGGAAAACCATAAACTAGGGCTCTCCTTCTTTAATAAGAAAACAACGAGCTAAAACTCGCTTTCGATAATGAGAAAACCACGAGCTAGTGCTTGCCTTCAAAAATAAGAGAACCATGAGCTAAAGCTCTCCTTTGATAATAAGAAAGCTAGAGCTAAGGTGATAAGTGTATTTTCTACACTTATTCGGGGTTTGAAACTATAGAATTTTATTGTTCTTTTTGGCAAAATACAAATTAAATTGTGTTATATTGCATCTTGTAAGTAAAACTCAATGTTTGATGAAAA